TCATAGGGTAGATGTATGTTGAACATTTTTTAAGAAACTCTCAGTCTTCTAAAGTGGTTGTACCAGTTACACTTCATCAGCAATAGGATAGTTCCAGTCACTCCACCTGCTTCCCAACACTTGGTGTAGTCAGTCTTTCCAATTTCATTTATTCTGGTGGAAGCATAATGGTCTCGTTGTGCTTTTAACTTGCATTTCCCTGATGACTAATGAGCTTCTTCATGTGCTTATTTAGAATTTTGAAAGACAGTTCCTTCACTGCTTCACTGCTATCCAGTTTTCAACTGCCATGATTTGAAGGACTGTTGAATAAATGAGGAAGGGAAAAAAAAAAAAAAAACCTAATGGCAAAATTCACTAGGAATATAGAGTTCTGCAAATCAAAAGCAAGCATATGCTCAGTCTCATGACCCCTCTGTTAACTTTGGTTCCCCAAAACTAGGGAGTTAAGGACATGCTCACCCTCCAAGGATTATGGTTGACTTGAGGTTGTAACAGGGAACCTCCCCCTTTCCTGGGGACCACCCTGTTACAAGGTCAGAATATTTTAATGTTAAATTTGTCTCTGGTTGAATAATTGTTTCCTCTACTACCATTTATAAGCTACTTCCTTTGGTCCAAGCACCGTCTATACTCACAGGTCTAATTTTTACAATAGCCCAACAATAGGTTGTTGTATGATCTCCATCTGTTATGATCTCTGTCTGGTGATGAAGAAAATCAGAGACATGAATTCCCTTGCCTAACACCACACATGCTTATCCCTTAAGGCCCAGCTACATCTCCATGGGATCCAGATTCAAAATGCTGCTAACTCCAAAATCTCATTTACCAAGTTGACTTCTCCAAAAACTTCATAGAAGAAAACCATAAAAAGGGGGCCTCCCTGGTGGCGCAAGGGGTTAAGTCACAGCACTATGACGCTATCACCAGCCACTGCAGCACAGCATGAGTTTGATCCCCGGCAGGCCAGGGAGCTAACCCACATGGCACAGCAGACCTCTCCTGTCTCGCCTGCTGCTCCCCTCAGCAGTGTATTTTAGTCAATCCGCCTGTTCTGTTCCTGGCTGTCTCTGATGAATCCTCTCACCCCCTGCCCCTCTGGCCTGTACCCCAGCTCTTATATGCATAAATAAATAAATATTTTATAAAAAGACAACAATAAAAAGAAAACAATAGAAGAAAAAGTAAAGTTAAAACAAAGGAAAATTAAAGGACAAAAATTTAAAACTATATATTACATATAGTTGTACTATATTATATACAAATTATATTATACACAGCCATAAAAAGGGATGAAATGCTGGTATATGATAAAATAGATGAACCTTGGAGATGCTAAATGAAAGAAACCAGATATGAAAAGTCACATATTATGTGATTTCATTTATAGGCAATATCCAGAATGGGTTAATCTATACCTACAGATAGCAGATTAGTGTTTAGCAGGGGCTGGGAGGAGAAGGGGAACAGGGAAAAACTGCTTAATGGATAGGAGGTTTCCTTTGGGGGTGACAAAAATGGCTGGAACTAGATAGAGGTGATGGCTGCACAACAGTGTACTAAGCATTACTGAACTGTATACTTTAAAATAATTGTTATGTAAATATTAATGAAAATGATAAACTTCACTCCTCACCATCTTCATTGCTGAGCATACCTCTGGCACTCAGATATGATCTTCCCCCCACCCCCCTGAGACCTCCCTCAAGAATTCCAGGGCTGGGCCTCCCCGGTGGCGCAGCGGTTGAGCGCTGGGTTGCGAAGCTGCCCGCAGCCTCTGCAGTGCCAGTTCGATCCCCGGCTGCTCCCCGGCCACCCAAGGAAGGTCCCACATGGCGCGCAGACCTCTCCTGCCGCCCGCTGCTCCCCTCAGCAGTGTACTTCAGTCCTTCTGCCTGCTCTGCTCCCCACTCTGGCTCTGGTGAATTCTCTCACCCTTCCGCACCTCTGACTGTACCCAGTGCTTGTATAAATAAATAAATAAATCTTTAAAAAAATAAAAAAAGAAGAATTCAGGGCAGAAAGAGGGGAAACAGCAGCATGACTCGAAGAGGGCACTGGAGTCAGGCTGCAGTTCAATTCCGAGCACTGTGTTCTCTGTATAATGGGGATGATAACGTCACCAACCTCATAGGGTTGCTGTGGGGAGGGAACGAAATCACGTAAGTTAGGTGTCTTGAGCACAGGTAATGTTTATTCACTGAGCTTATGGTTCAGACAGGCTGCCTTCTCCTACCAGCACCCATGGCACAAATACTCACTGAGCACCTACTATGTGCCAGGCATTCTTCCAGGCCCTGAGGATCCATCTTCAAGCAATAACAACAGTTCCTTTCTTCTCGGAGCTCACATTTTAACTGGGGTACAATAGAAGAGACAAAAGAAATAAAGTATAAAGTCTGTTAGACGGTATATGTGCAAAGGAGAAAAGAAAGGGGGGCAGGGTGAGGGTTAGGAAGCTCAGGGGAAAGGTGTCACGATTTTAAATTGGGTGGCCAGTGATGAGTTCCCGAGTGATGACCTAAGGGAAGTGTTTGCTTGTGTTGGTCTAACAAGTTACCACAAACTTCAAGGCTCACAATAACACAAATGTAATATTTTACAGTTTTTCAGATCAAGTAAAAAATGGGTCTCACTGTACTAAAATCAAATCGTTGGCAAAGCTGTGTTCTTTCCAGAGGCTCTAGGGGATAATCCATTTCCTTGCCTTTCCAGCTTCTAGTGGCTGCCTGCATTCCTTGGCTCACGGCCCCACATAACTCCAACTTTCGCTTCCATGATCACATTTCCTCTTATTTTCCTGCCTCCATCTTTTCTTTACAAAAACCCTTGTGATTAAATTAGACCCCCATGGATAATCCACAATAATGTCCTCCTTTAATTTAATCACAACCCTGTAGTCAGAGGTCTTGGGAATCAGGACATGGACATCTTGGGGGTGGGGCATTATTCTGTCTACCACATGTGGCATAGTATCTAAAGGAAGTGGAAATGGCAAGTTCCTGAGACAGGGTCTATCTGGCATGTTTGAGGAAGATGGAGGACAGTAAGGACACAGTAGATTGGGCAAAGGGGGAAGTGGTCTCTCACAAGGTCAGAGAGGTGGAGGTGTAGATCTTTGAGGGTCCTAGGGAGGACCTTGGCCTTTACCTGAGTGAGATGGGAATGAGATGATCTTCCAGGTTTTAGCAGAATTCCACTGGCTGCTCTGTCCAGAATGGACTGTGAGGAGGATGCGGCCATACCCAGGGGTATGGCTATACCCTCTGGCTAGACCAGAGAGGGTGAGAAATAAGGAATTTGCTTTGAGATGTCTGTTTGGTATCCCAATGGAGACATTGAGTAGAAAGCCAGATATATGAGTCTGGAGCTTGGGAGAAGGGTCTGGAGGGATTCCTTTGGGAGACATCAGCATACAGCTGGTATTTAAAGCCATGAGCCTGGATGGGATCTCTGAGAGAATATATGTAGAGATAAGAGGACCAAGGACTGAGATCCCCTTGATGAGGAGGAACGAGTAATGCAGGAGGAAAATCAGGTGTGTGTGTGGGGTGGGAGGGCAGAGGGTGGTTCTAGAAGCCAAGATAGTTAAATGTTACAAACTGTCCTTAATAGCTGTGCAGTGAGGGGTCAGTGGATTGGAGAACACCCACCTTTCTTTCCTAGAGCTGTTCTCCAGCAAACAGTCTGTATGGAAAACAATTTAAGAGAGTAAGACCTACTGAGGCAGCCCCACTCCTGAGTCAGAAGCTGTTTCCCCTCCAGGAAGCTGGAACAGGTACGTTCTAAAGGTCTGACCCTTACTCATCCAGCAGTTTCCCTCTGTCTCAATGCCAGCTGGGTCTTCCATACTCCCTTGGTCATTTCCTTTCTGCCCAGTGGCAGTGCTGACTCCCCATGAGTTGGGTGAGTCCTCTGCCCAGCTCCCACAGCTCCCCCTGCTCTCCCACTGGAGAACTCACCACACAAAGCTTATTTACATTGAGTCTCCAACAAGGTTAGTTACTTTGGGTTTTTTTTAAAAATCCTCATTTCTCAGTCTATGTGAACCGAAATACTCAGCAGAAGCCCCTTCTCATGCTAGTATCTGGCCAAGCCTGGCCATCTGTTATGCAGAAACTACAGGTCCTATTACCTCTGAAACCTAGGGTATTGGAAGCCCTTTGCCCTCCACAGCATGGTAGAACCCTCAGAGCCCCAGGTCTGTGTTCACTTGGTAGTTGTTAAACACCAAGGAAAGGGCTCTGGACTTGAGCCTAGTCTAACTTCCAGCACTCACTAATTTGTACTTCAGCCTCCCCACCTTTAAAATGGAGCTGGGTTCCTCCATGGTGGCACAAGGGGTTAAGCCTCAGCACTATGAAGCTATCATCAGCCACTTTAGCATAAGTTCGATTCCCAGCCAGGGAGCTAACCCACATGGCACAACAGACCTCTCCTGTCTCGCACGCTGCTCCCCTCAGCAGTGTAATTCAGTAGATCTGCCTGTTCTGCTCCCCACTCTGTCTCTGGTGAATCCTTTCACCACCCCCGTACCTCTGGCCTATACCCTAGTTCTTATATGCATAAATAAATAAATAAATAAATCGTTAAAAAAAAAATAAATGGAGCTGGTACATGCTCATTCCTTAAGTCCCTCTCAGCAGTTGTGACATTTGGGAAAGTGTTTGGCAAATTGAAAATAAGCCGTGCAAATCCGAGTTACTACAGAGAGGAGGTTTTTCCCTGGCAGCTGATTCATGTGACTAGATGTATGTGGCCCCAAGCCATGTGAGGCCTCTTTGGTTTTTCTCAAGCTACTCTTGAGATCAAGCAGGGTCTTCCTCAGGCAACAGGAACCTGGGAATGAGTGGGGCCTGGCCCCAGTGGAAACTCTAACATAGGCATCAGCTTTAACAAGTGTTTCCAGTGACTAAGAGCCACATAAGTAGTTGTCCGAACCCATCCTGAAAACTTGTCCCAGAGTTACTTCCCCACCCACCCCACTCTGGCCCATCCTACTTCTTTGGGCCCAAAGGGCAGAGTTCCTCATCATCACACAGGAGACAACATTGGAGTTACAACATATGGGCCATTTATTTACATTTACTTCCCCAAATAACTTTTCCTCAGGTCAGAGGACGAAAGAATTGCAGGGGGAGGGTAACATATGAAAGCCGAAGGCACACCTTGACTGTGCTATAATAGGTGGGGAAGAGGTTGGTTTGAGATGGCAAACTCCCCATTTCGGATGCTTGGGAAGTTTGGACCCAAGGAACATGCACTCATTCAGCCAAATCCCTTCCATCAGTTGGAAGAGAAGTAAGCATTGCCCTGGCCCTGGCCCAGGCCTTCCACTGGCTCACACCAGGCCCCTGCCAGACCTGGCTGTGGCATTAGTGGGATCACTAACATAGCATTGGCCATGATATCTTGACCTAAACAAACAGGTGAGGCCTGGCCTGGTTCCATCTGCACAAGCAGAGACAATGGTGACTATTTAGGAGGAGACGAGTTGTACACAAAGAAGGGGAGAGGGCGGTGCCTGGCAATCTTAGATAATGACTCTAAAATGTAGTGTAAACCCACCGGGCGGGTGGAGGGGGTGACTGAGGCTGGATATGATGATTAAGTAAAAAAATGTAACTCTGTGAGCTGACTTGACATCTGCACCTATTAAGTTAGTCTCTGCTTAAATGGCATTTCAGTCTCCTTGGCTCTAAACTGCCATGGAAGCAGAAGGAAGAGGAAGTGGTAGCCTGCCCGGCTGGGGCCTACGCACTGTCGTGACTGTCCACATCTCTGTGGTCAGAGGGCGTTCCAGCCACTCAGACCCTGAGCCTGGGACAGATCGAGGGAGAGAACGCTGAGTCCCAAGAGGGCTGTCCCAAGGCCCTTGCTCGCCTGCCGGGCTCTGCAGGCTCCTCTTCTACCGCTTCTTCTTGGTCTCCTTCTTGGGCCTCTTATTCGCTGAAGGAGCAGTAGCCTTGGGCTTTCTTGTCACCTCAGCACTTCTGGGCTCAGATGGTTCTGCCTCCTGCATGGTGATAAAAAGGAGTCCTGCTTAGATGAGTCAAGCCTGACACCATAAAATGTGCTCACGTCTGAAAGGACTTTGCAAATTGAAGTGTGCCACAGAAACATGGGGATAGAAACCATCACTAGGGGACCCAGAATCCACATAGACACAGGACTGCGTCCAGGGTGGGGCAATTCTCAGTGAAGATAACAGAGGCCCCAAGTGGAGGAGACAGCCTGAAGAGTCTCACAGGCCTGTGTGGAATCTGAAACCTTCCTCCACATTCTAGCCAAGTGACCCTGTAGGCAACTCACTTCCCCTTCCTGTGTCTTGGTGTACACACCTGTGAAATGAGAATGCCCTTGCAAGCTTCATGTGAGGAGGTAAAAATGCATGGAAAGCACCCGGTAAGCGTGGTGATGCCCAATGGCTAGCCGGCCACTGTGTATTGGGGACTGGGCAGAATTCGGGTAGGAGCTGGCTGTGCGGCAGCCCTACTGCGGCTTGCTTTCCTTCTGGCCCTGCCGTTTTCCTCCTCCCATGCAACCCACAGAATGCCAGGGCTGGGAGGGGTGAGTGTGCACACAGCAGGTGTGAAGCTTGGCAGAGGTGCCCTGTGGGAGAGGGGAGAGGGCAGCCTCAGGGCAGAACTGCAGCCTCTCCCTACAGCTGGGGCAGCTCCGGTTTTTGTCAGTTGTGTACATTGTGATTTGCTACCCAAAAAATTTGGTTTAATACTGATAAAGAGGTGGACACTAGGGAAGTGTCTTGGTCTGCCCCGCCACTCAGAACCTAGAGAGGACTCCACCCTGTGTAGTGACCCCTCCTCCCTGGATGATAAATCACAATGTGTCATGGCCAGACAGCGAGGCCCAGCGGCCCAGAGAACATCAACCAAAGATCCAGGCAGACTTCACTTGGCCTGCAGTGTTTATTTTTAAGAATTTGCAGCAATGGGAGATTTCTCACTCAGTCAGAATTCTGTGCTTTTCCTGAAAACCTTAAATATCTGGTGACACTGGTCCCACATCCCTCTGTGGAAGAAACAGGCTGACAGTGGCTATCCCCAAGACAGGTAGGGAAATGTTTCTCTTATTTAAAATAGGAAAACAAGTACATTAAGGCTTCTGAGAAGAAGCATACTTTTCCTAGAAGAGAAAAATACCTCCCCATGTTTAAACGGCCAACTCCCAGTTTTCAGCTCACATTACTTTCTATCCTTCCCTATTTGCCCCTGACAGAAGAGGCGGGACCATGGCTGGGGAAGGGCAGATGGACAGAAGGCCCAGTCCAGAAGCCCGTCAGCGTCCTCTTATCATCATCTCCTCTCTGCCCTGCTGCCTCCCAGTTGAGACACCAGATGTAAAGGCCAGGCAGCCACGGCTGATCGCCCCAAGATATGGCTGGGCCAGCTCCTCTGCTGGCCAGGCCTCTAATTGTAGCCCTGACTCTGCCCCTCCCCCCACCGTTGGCTGATACTGTTTGTGTAACTTGGCAAAAGAAAAGTCAGCCCATTAGAAAAACAAACAAACAAAACAATACCTCAGAGGAGCCAGTGTGTTAAGTGCACACACGCTGAGTCTGCAGAGCCCAGTGCAAAGGCTACTGTTTAAGGCAAACCTCACAGGCACAATACCTTTGGTGACCTGGGGGCAAAAATGTCCCCAGTGGAGTCCCTGTGAGGCCAGAAGGAATCAAAAGGTCCCTGAGTGCCTGTGGCAAAAAAGCATTAATTACAGAAATAGATTTTTGATAGGGAACTTGCCCAGGCCCAGACTGTCAGGACCTCCAGCGAAGCCCCTCTGAGTTCAAAGCAGGGTGCCTCCCCCCATTTCAGTCACAGAGCCCCAGTTGCCATCCCTGTGCATTTCTCACGCCATATATGGATCCTCTTAATGCATCTCATCATTTCTGGCACCTCCCGGACCTCTCTGGCCGGGAGACAATTAGGACTCATGCCAAGGGTCCCTGAACAAGCTGTGCACCTCTCCACCTCTGGGCCGAGCACAGTCCCGGAGACCTCCCCTTCTCACCCTCCAACGGTCACCAGGTCTTGTTCATTCAACCTCCTCAAACTCGAGTCTGCCACTCTCTAGCATCAAAATTCCTACTTCAGTTTCCCCAATGCTAAGGAAGCCCCGCTCTCTCCATGCCATTCCTCAAGCACATGTCAGAGGAATTTTCCTATGTGCAGATCTGACCTCTGCACCTCCCACCTTAGGCCCAGCCATGGTTTTCCATCACTCACAGTCTCGTGTGCCACACCTGGGCTCTCATCTAAGGAGGCTACGTCTCCAGTCTCATCTGGGCCCTTCTCCACCCACTACACTGGGTCAGGCCCCAGGGCTTCTGCTGGTTCCCTCTATGAAGGACCAACCTTCTTTCCTTGGTCAGCAGCAAACCTCTCCCCAATATTTGATCCAGCGTTAGAACACAGTGTAGTCTTCCTCTCTGCCCCTCTACCTTCAGCCCTATCTGCCCAAGAATCTTGTGATGTCATTATTATTTTACTATGGAGTTACATGTTTTCAGGCTGTTTTCTCCTACTAATCATGAGCTCTTTGGGACAGCTTCCATTGTTGTTGAATGAAGAATGAATGAATGAATGAATGAATGAATGAATGAATGAATGAAAATGTACTAACAGGCAAAATCTACCGCAACAGTGGGAACTTCATTCTTATCACCACAAAAATGTAGCAGTTACTAAGACAAGGTTTCACTTTTTTCCATGGGCACAGAGGTCACAAGAAGATTTTAAATCCAGTAAACATACCCTGGAGCACAGCTAGACAAAGCAACTGCCACCAGTAACAACCACCACCACCAGGGCTGCTGATCTTTGTTATTTACAATAAGCCAGGCTCTGTGTTAAATGGTCTGAATAGATTTTAGCTCCACAAAATAAGATAAGGAGCCCTATTTTATGGCTAAAAGGAGAGACATTCAGAAAGGTTTGTGACTTGCATAAAGTCTCAGCGAGTGGCAGAGCCAGGACCTGAACCTTCGCTCTTGCTGGTCGTGTGCTATCGACCTCCCCAAACTCCCGAGGAACCTGGGGCTGCTGGAGCCCAACAGTCTAAGTTACTCTCCTCTCTCCATTTAGCAGCCCTGGAACCACTATGGTTTGTCTAGATTTTATCTGCCGGTAGGTCATTCAGAACCTTATTTGTGATTAAAGTTCCTAAGAGAGTCAGGAAAGTGGGTTCGTGCTCGAGTCATGCTTTGTTTTTTACAGTTGAAAGCAGCTCTCTGTGGGCGTGTACACATTACAGTCATCGAGTCATCTGAATGTATTGTCTCCTCCTCACCCCAGACCTCCTCCTCTCTTCCCCATCTCAGTTTTTGGCATTGTCACCCACCCAGTTACCCAAGCTAGAAACTTGCGAGTCATTTCTGAGTTCTTACCATCCCCCCAGCCCCCAAATCCAATCTGTCCCCAGGTTTTGTCCATTCTACTCCCAAAGGAGCTCCAGACTCTGCCTGGGTCCTCTGGACACACACCGCTGCACCTGTCCAGACCATACGGTCTCCTCCTGCCCCCTCATCTATTGGCCTCCCACAGGTTCTCCTTACTACCTGCCACATTGCATTCAGAGCTTATTCTCCTGAAGCCCTGACCCTGTCCGTTTTCTCCTTTAAAAGTACAGCTGGCTTCCTCTTTATGTAAGACCAAGTTCCTAGAGCTGCAGCATGGCCTCCACTTCGGCCTTTGCCCTGTCCCTCAGCAGGCAATTCTCTGTCTGTCATTCTGGGTGACTGGCCAGCATCTCTTCCCTTTCAAGCTCTGCCCAGGTGCTCAGCCCTCATCACCTCTCTGCACCCAGTGTGCGCAGGTTCTGTGCTGGGCACCATGGGGTAATGAAGAAGAAAACCACCTGCGGGGACATGCACCATGGGGTACATCACAACATCAGTTCACTGAGTCTCTGATCACCCCGATGAGCCAGCCACTCACTGTGAGCCCCATCTGAAGGTGAGGAAACTGAGGTTCAATGAGACTTGGTGACTGGCCCATGGGGCACAGCCACCTTCCCAAGCTGCAGGGAAGAGTGACAGACGGCTGTTATGTGTGTGATCTGGAGACTGGGGTCCTAGTCACACAGCACTGGAATTCCAAATTCCTGGCAAGAATGACTGAATGAATGGCTGACATTTCATTTCTCCTCAAATGCACACTGCCAATATGTCAGGCAGACAACAGAACTCCAAACTCTACATCTTTAAACTTGGGGACACCTTGCCTCCTCTGAAGCCAGTTTCAAGTTTCCTCAGCACAACTCACTGTTGGAATAAAAGAAAACCTCCCCCACCAGGTGGTTCCTGGGTTTGTGGAGGCGTCCTCTGTGGACACAGACCTCATCAATAATGAAGCAGTTCCACCGCCGCTTACGGGCCAGAAAATTGCTGCTATTCATCAGACTCAAATAATCGAATCTGTGCCACAATGCATCAACTCCTTCCAGCAGGGAAAGCACGAAGAATTCTGTGATTTCCACTACACATTTCAGTGTGGATTTAGTCCAATAAATCAGGACCAAATATCATTCTGCACAGACTTTCCTCTAAATATGGTCCAGGCAAAGCAAGTCACTCTGTACTCCAGCTGTCTCACACACATTTTCTCACTTGATCCTTGAAGAACTCTGGTCTGGGCATGAAAGCCCATGGCCCTGGGCTTGGGGAGACAGGGTAGACCAGCACTTGGGCCAGGTATGCTGATGCTCTTGTTCGTCCAGCTATACACTCCTGCCCAAGAACCTGGGCAGAGTGTGGGCAGAGACCTTGTGGAGGTGGAACTAGCATTGGCCTTGAGAGGATAGGACTAGCTGGAACCAGGAGCGGGGGAGGCTGTCCATGTGGGCTCAACAGGCGAATGGAGACACAGAGTCCAGGACGGGCTTGGCAGGCGAGAACTGTGATTAGTGAGAACAGCCTTGGGGACTCATTCCAGATACAATTCAGCCTGACGGAAGGCCCTTCCCCCTGGCTCCCCCTTCTGTGGCTCCTCATGTGTC